CCTCCCCTCCCCTCCCCCCCTTCTTCTTCTTCTTTTGGTACTGGGGATAGAACTCAGGCCCTTGCACTTGCAAGGCAGGTGGCAGAACGACTGAGCCAAACCCCAGCCCCTGTGGATGCTTCTTAAGGGAAGGTTTTCCTAAAAGGTTTTGTCACAAAACAGATTCATATGCAACCATGATCTGGCTTTGTTTACAGGTCCATGTCTGCATGCAAGGACAGGAAGCTCTCTTTTCTGAGGATATGACCTTAAGAGAAGTCATTGTCCATCTCAAAAAGCAGTTGTCAGCAGAAACCTTAAGAGGAGAGATTATCGGGGCGGGCTTCCAGGCGTCCCAGAATGCTCCTCTGGAGACAAGACAAGGTGAGCCACGTGAACCTGTACATCACTGAGAAGTTCTAGATGAACCCCTTTTTGGGTACAACTTCATTGAGTGACTTCTTTGTTTTCACAGGAAGTGAATACAAAGAAGACGGCTTCACCAGTTCCTGGGAAATCACTCAAGTAAAGGACAATATTGCTAATCCAGAAAGAGAAATAGATTCCCTACTTATTCTCCTGGAAGAGAACTGTCCTAGGCCTGAAGAGGGAGTTATTTCTTGGGAGACTACACATAACCCCAGAAGAGCAAGTTTAGGCACCTGCAGGCTGCAGAAAGAATCCCCGAAGTCATCTTCTTACCAAGATGTCCCTATGGATCTGGGACCAGGATTTTTCTCTAGGTCAGACCAGTCCTCCTCTGAGCTTGTCCCTACCAACCACAGCAATGACGGAAACCCCACCAGTGAGGGACACCAAGAAATATCCCATGAAGCCCAAAGATCATACAGATGTGAGGAGTGTCCCAAGACTTTTCTGTATCTCTCCCATTTATTAGCTCACCAAAGAAGACATAGGAATGAGAGGCCATTCGTTTGTGCTGAGTGTAACAAAGGGTTCTTCCAGACCTCAGATCTACGTGTCCATCAGATGATACACAAACAAGAGAAGCCTTTCACATGTAGCAGATGTGGAAAGTCCTTTACACATAAAACAAACCTGCGGGCTCACGAGAGAATTCACACAGGAGAGAAGCCCTATAAATGCACCCTTTGCCACAGAAGCTTCCGCCAGTCGTCCACATACTATCGTCACCAGAAGATTCATGAGAAACAGTCATCCCAAAGTGTTCCCGCCACTCTAGAATCTTCTTCCCTGGCCACCGGGACGATGTAATGGGTACGAATATATATTCAGACTGTAGTCTGTAATGTGCCTGTCCATTGACAGTATGTCATTCAATTTCCTATTTCTATTCTCACGCCACTAAACTATGTAAGGCTCGAGAGCACAGGGAACATGGTAGTTTGTCCAGTAAAGTATCCCATGTGCCTAGAAATGTGAAGGATATTTCGTGTCTAATAGTTATCCGGTGAATAGACAGATGGATCTGTAACGTTTGTGTTTACTCCTTAAAATTCAGGACCATACACCGTGTGAGGACACCGTGAGTCCAGCTGTGAGACACCTTGCTGGCTCACCTTGCTCCCGAGAGGCTTTCCCTGTCTGCTTCTCTGTCCTCCGAGCACCCTTCTTATCTCTGCAACCCCCAGCTCTGAACAACACCAGGAACGCAAGCAGCTAACTAGAAGTGGGCTTTATAAGACAAAAGTGGAGTTTATTTGTAAATTACATGACTTTTAAAATTCACTGCAGATGTTAACTGGAGCAAAATATGACTGATGACTGAAAGTTGCAGAGTAAAATTTTATGGACAGATACCAGAAAATGCAAATTCTTTCCTTGTATTTTTTCCAAAGACAATGAGCAAGATGAAAAGGGAGTTTAGAGGGCTGGGGATTTAGCTCAGTGGTTCCACCGCCTGCCTCGCAAGCGCAAGGACCAGGGTTCGATGCCCAGTACAAAAAAATAAATAAAATGGGAGTTTAGAGAATAAAGAATTCTGCACAGAGCAATATAAAACAGCATGTGCTGGTCAATTTGTTGGGATACATGAAAGAAAGAAAGAAAAGTTATAGAGACAGAGAGTGAGTTTTTGAAGGGTGCTAATATGCAGTTGTCAATTGAAAGGAGAAGGGATTTTATTGTTGATCCTTTCTTCAAGATATTTATTCATTTCTTGGACGAATGGTGGAACATGAAAGAAAAAGAATTTGTCCATAAGGCATGCACTCACCTGTGTCATTGGCGATCTTATCTTCTGGGCAAGGGGTGCAGTCAAAACAGCAGGCCATCTTTCTCTCCTGAGAGGATTTTCAGAATCCTGGATTACAACTCTCACTGCATACAGAGTGGGGAGTCTGAGGAAAATCATATGTTTTGGTAACTTCTGAGGCTTTTGCACAATCTTCTGCAATTACAGTGATAGAAATTAATTTTTATACATGCATACATTAAGTTATTTAAAACCTCATGTTTATTGAGTGATAAAATATGTTTAGAATATTTGACAATACGATTAGATAAATGTGACTTTCCATTCAGTTGAAAGTAAATCAGTACAAATTCCTTAATTAGAAGTATTGTGAAATTCTCTGTGTGGCCATTTTTTGAGTGACGTTGAGAGCACAAACCCCGTAGTACTGCCCTGTGTCGTTAATGAGGTGTGTTATGACTAGGTCCCACATACCTCTGTCATTCCTGTGGCCAACTCTATCATATCTTCAGATAAAGACAATTGTTGATCCTGTGAAGCCTATGAGGAAAATGAACCTACTTCGACCTTAAGTCTAAGGCCTTCTGGAAAATTCCAAAAGTTGCGAATGTCATACTCTGCATTCAGTTTCCTTTTGTCATCTAAATTCACTTGATCTCCAGCAGGATTGTTAAATTGAATGTTCTTCAAATAGAGGCGAAGCTAAAACATATTAATTGTGCCATAATGAAGTAGGCCATGGCATGAATACATAAAACCTGAATGAGGGCACCCCAGTTGCTTTTTTGTTTGTTTGTTTTGTTTTGTTTTTTGAGACAGGCTCTCACTATGTAGTTGAGACTCACCTGGAACTCACTATGTAGCCCAGGCTGGTCTCTAACTCGCAGAGATCCTTCTGCCTCAGCCTCCCCCCTGAGTGCTGGGATTACAGGCTTGTGCCACCACACCCAGCCCCCAGTTGCTTTTAATCTGTTTCATAATGCAAATTTAACAACAGCATTCAATGAATCCAATAAAATAGAACAAATGAACACCTATGAGGTACTAAAATACAGTATCATAATGTTCGTAAAATGTCAGTTTTGAGAGAAACTAAACAGGCTTGTTTAAATACAAGTTTTATGTAAATGCTAAGTCAAATTCAACTGAGGAGTCAGAATTTCCCCAGTCTATTTTCTTTCTGATTGTTCCCAGAGGAGAACCAAAAGGGGTTGCAGAGTTCAGTGAGAAAATTCATGGAACGTATCCACTGTAGTGTTTAGCACCATTGAAGTAGTGAAAAAGCTACATCTTTTCCTGTTGTTCTTGAAGAATTTAAACTTTAGATATTCTTATGAAAATATTAAGTGGGAAGGATGTTAAAACCCTTTGGAAAAGAAAACATTGATCTTGAAAAAGAGTTAATTTCCCCCTTGACAGCGGATCTTGTTTTTGATGAGTTCTACTCAGGTTAGATTGACCTCCTTGACAATGAAACCCATATGTGATTTCTTAATTTTTTTTAGAGGAAGTATCCTAAAGTATCTACTTTGAGCACCTGTGGAACCCATTAAGCTACAGTACACAGCAACCAATAGAAAGAAACATTACCTGCCTGGGAGAAAACCGCATTCCTTGCCCATTTCCTACCGATTGTGTTTGTACTTGTTATTCTTTAAGCATCTCCTGGAGGGCATGGGCCTCTGCATTCCCAGCATTGTAGATATTGTAACTCTCTCATCACTCATGGCCGTGTCCAAACAATTCATAGGCAGCCACACCGGAGAGGCATTAGGTGTACAGTCAGAATCAGATACTGAGCAATGAAAGTGCGTGTACCAAAATAGAGTGAGGAAGTTGTCTTCTGGGTACGTGGAAAGGTTAACTGCCTGAATAAAATTTTGGAAACCACAAATCTCCTCATGCTGCTTTGAAAAAATGAGAGTCCCGTGGAATGATTGAAGTATAAACTTTCTCCCGGCCATGTGAGCATGCCACGGTGAGTTTGTAACCCACACAATCCATGTTGTGAGATGCTGCTCAGTATTATAGTTCACATCATTCAGACGCTCAGTGTCATAGTACGTGATGACCACCTTTACTGGTGATGTTGCCCTGGTCAGGAAATCATGTTGCTGTGCGTGAGAGAGAACTGACAAAACAGCATTTGAAATCGCTTTCACAAATGCTACAGACTCAGTTCCTGTTCATCTCAGCTTTCACATCTGACAGAAACTGGTGACCTTTCTGACCTTCTGTGATGATCAGTCCCGCCCAGGTCCAGCTGAAATAAAGCATCAAGGAGACCATACCAAGAGCCAGAGATGTGCCCTTTGGGGCCATCTGATAGAAGAAAACTGTTCATTTTCACTCAGCATCAGGTCAAAACAGCCAAATGTAAGCTAAAAGAAAAGTTAGAGGGAGTATGTAAAAGAGATTTGGAAAAAAGCAGTCTTAGATTCAAAGGTGTTAAGCAAGAGCTAGAAGTGTTAGCAAATACTCGATGCAATCTTTCTAATAATCTTACTCGTCAAGTGATTTTTTAGAAAACAACTGATAAGACTCAGACTTCCAGAAAGCTTTTTCTGTTATACCCTCATCTTACTCTCTGCTGTACATAAAGAAGTATGGGTCAACCATGGGGTTTCAGGACGTTTTTCTATGAGAATATACACGTTCAGAAATGCGAACCCAGATAGTAATTAAGTAAGGATCCAATGAGAAAAAAAGGAAAACTCCAGGCTAATCTCTCTAATGAACCTAGATGCAAAAGTTCTCAATAAGATAATGGCACTTAATGCAACAAATCATCTCTCTCTATATAGGAATAACACACAAACATGCATGCGTGTGTGTTTGTGTGTGTGTGTGTGTGTGTGTGTGTGTGTGTGTGTGTGTGTGTTATTCCTATGGACTAGGGTCAGCGCTCCAAGGTCCCAGACATTTTTCAGTCAAATTTCTTCAAGGCCCCTGGGGGAATTTGTCACCATTTTGGTCCCTTGGGATCTGCATCTGATGTCTGATTCCAGGCAAAAAGCATAAATTGGGAAATAAATTTGAAGATAATCACTTTCACCTTCAGGCACCATGAAGTCATATAAGTTTATTGATGTAAGGCCCCATGGGGTACCTCCTCTTAGGCAGAGTTAATTCCAAGCCTATGTCAATAAGTTATTGGCGTCTTATGTGATGCAAATTAGTTTCATTAGAGGATTAACTACTAGGTGTTCAGTAAAATGTTCTGAATGGGGCCATTTTCTGAATAGAGCCTTTGGGAATCAAGCCCCCAAAGATCACGACAGAAAGTTCTAGCCTCGCATTTCCATGTTCAAAGCAGCCACAAAACATTCCATTCAATGAAATGGAGACTAAAAATATAAAAGAAATAATCAATGAATCAAAGAACTTGTCTTTGAAAAAATAAACAAGCTTGATGAACGAAAGAAAAACCAAAAAGGAAAGAAAAACACAAATCAATGCAAGTAGAAATGAAATGGGTGAAATCACAAGGAAACATTGCTGGAATCCAGAAAACTATTAACAACTGTTTCACAAACCTGTATTCCACAAAACTGGAGAACTCAAAAGAAATGAAAAGATTCCTCGATAATTGTGAATTACCAAAACTGAACTAAGACTTTAAAAACTAAATCCAATAACAGGCAGTAAAATTGAAGCAGTTAAAAAACAAACAACTTACCGATTAGGAAAAGCCATGATGGATTCACAGCTGAATCCAAGAATTTCAGGCTGATCTAACTCCAATATTCCTCAAGCTCTTTAATGAAATTGAAAGGCAGTGCTAGAATTACCCTGATTCCAAAACTAGATAAGGATAAAACTAGGTAAGAGAACTCCAGGCTAACCTCTCAAATGAACATAGGTGCAAAAGTCCCCAACAAGATAACGGTGCACAGGCTGCAACAATTCATCAAAAATATTATATACTATAACTAAGTAGGCTTCACCCAAGGTTGCAAGGATAGTTCAATATACACAAATCAATAAATGCCAACATCATAATAAATGTGGGAAACCTGAAAGCTTTCCCTCTAAAATCAGGAACAACACACAGATATACACTGTCACCACTCCTATTTAAAATATTCCTCAAAACACGAGCCAGAGCAATCAGCCAGTAGAAAGAAGTAAAAGAGATACATACAGAAAAATATGAAATCAAAGTATCATTATTTGCAGATGACATCATCCTATACTTACAAGACCTAAAAAAAAGAAATCCTACCAAAACACTCCTAGAATAAATAATAAAATCCAACAATGTAGAGGGCTAAAAATCAACACAAAAAACTAAGAGAATTCCTATACACTGATAATGAATTCAATGAGAAAGAAATTAGGAAATTAATACTATTCACAAGAACATCAAGAAATTTACATGCCTAGGAATTAACCTAACCTCAATGAATGTAAATGTTAGATGTCATAAACATGAGCTAAGAACACTATTAACAAGAACTATGTACATACCCATATGTAGATGTTTACTCATTTTGTTTCCCTCACTAAATCATAGAATTACTGGCATGAGTAGCCAACAGGAGTTCATGGGATGGATTGCTGCTGCACTCATGGTCAGTAAATTTAGATGAAGCCTGTGACAGAAATAAATTTTACATAGAATTCAAAACTAACGTAATTAAGTGGCCCACAGACAGGGTTCAAGAAAAACATGCATCTCTACACAATACATTCAAAACCTCTGTAAGAAAATCTTTAGTAAATAGCAAAAAGTATGCAAGAGCTACAAAGATGAAAATATTTAGGCACTCTAAAATGTATTTTCTGAACATGATAGCTTGTCGTGTGTGGGATATCAATTGTTTTCCAAATTTTATCACCAAAGCAATTATATTTCATTTTCAGTGAATCAAGTATAAATTGGATTACAATATTCTAATCTTTTTTCTATATTGAAGTAGTGCAAAATTATATTATTCTTAAAAATACAGTAAAGGATTGAACTTTTAGATATATAATGTTGCCACAGTCATGTTAATTTTGCTTAACTTGACTTTTTTTTGTTTGTTTGTTTTGTTTTTTGAGACGGGGTCTCACTATGTAGTTCAGACTGCACTGGAACTAATTGTGTAGCCCAGGCTGGTCTCAACTTGCAGTGATCCTCCTGCCTCAGCCTCCCGAGTGCTGGGATTATAGGTATGTGCCATCACGCCTGGCTCAACTTGACAATTTTTAATTCACTTCGTTGAGGCATGATGGTCAAGTAAAATTGCATATATTGAAAGTGTAAATGTAAACGTGTGCATATATGTCTATATTGGGAAATGATTCTTACAATCTCTCTAGTTAGTGTATGTACCAACTAATATAGTTACTTTTGAGTATGTGGTTAAAACATTAAACTACTCTCTCAGCAATTTCAACCCTATATCAGATATTATATTATTGGACATAGTCACCAGGAGAGCTCCAGAACTGGTTTTTACTTACAAGAGAAATGTTGTATCTTTTTTATTAATATCTCAACTTTACAAATCCCTTCACATGTCAACCACCACTAAACTTTCAGCTTCTGTTTACTTGACTATAAACAATTGCTAAATACAAGTATTATCATGCTGTAAACTTTTTGGTTGGAGCAGTGCCCACTACGTTCTTACTAGAAATGTTGATAGTATGAAAAGAAAAACTCCCCAAGCACCATATTTTATATGGTATAATCATGCTTATTTATTTATGTGCACATTATGGGTATATTAAAACAAACCTCAAAGAAAAAGAATACACACATGCTTCTTGCCTCTGGTCCTCACTAGTGTAGAGGAAATACAACTTTAAAGTACTTTTTTTCATTCTT